CCTCATAATAAAGTAGTTAAGCTTTAACGTATTGCATCTCCAAGCAGGTTCAAATATACAGACATCCATTTATGTTTAAAAGGACTGTTTCATTAACTCACCAAGCTTGTTTTCCATTTTTGCTGGTCTTCTCTTTTCATAGCCAAGTTACCAGTGACCAACTGAACAACCCAGAGGGCTCTGCAGAAGTCAGTGGATGAAGTCTATCCTGAAAATGTTTTTAGAAAACAGGTATTCAGGTAGATTTTACAGCCAGTCCGCACAGCATTGACTGTCTGCAGTGACATAACAAAGCTAACTGTGGCAAAGTTTCTCTCAGGCAGTCTCATAAGGCAACCTGCCTAACTGGTTTTACTCATGTTGTGTAACAGCAGAGAGCTTATGAACATGGACTCAACATATCAATTAAAATGAATATATGAACATGCTTTCAAAGTCTTTTTTGCCAGTCTATTTTTGACTATGTATGATGAGACTGAACTCTGACTGGGTCTCTTCAGTGATGTTTTTGCAGATGTTGGCAGATTTTCCATCAGCTTACCTTGTTATACTAAAACACAGCTGTACACATTTCAGTCTTTGTCCTAACCAGAGCTCTGTCACCTCTCTGTGCTGCAGCATATCTTCCTGGGGAACTGGGACCAAAAATTCTCCTTTTTCTAATTATTTATAGACTGACATCATTTAGATGGCACTGGATGATCATGTGTTAGTTCAATGTTGCCTGTACTTGTCTCTGCACACTGACTTATACTGCTAATGATAATAGTCTCTCCAGTGGAGTCCCCAGAAACACTCACTGACACTACAAAATTTAAACCATTAGACAAGAAATGTGTTTTTACCTCAAATGTGCAGCTTACCATGATGAAACAAAAGTAGATAGAAACATAATTTTCCTTTTCAGCCCCCAAAGAAATAAAAACTAGAAAAGCTGCAAATAAAATGCTAAGCATCACTTTGGATGAAATGAAATCTAAACCAAAGATGTTATTGCATGTGGTATGCAGATGTATTTATTTTACAGTAATGCACTTCGTTTAAATTACAAATACATAATTTATTTAAAGATGAGTCATGCAGTGCCTCATGCCATCATAATTATCCTGACAGATACATAATGGTTATGGGTCTCTATAACAAATGGAATCATTTAAATCCAGAGCCAAAAATAGCATCCAGATTGTGAAATTACAGTACAAACAACTTGTTTATCTTTAGTTTAATTTGTAGTTGTTCGTTGTCTCTAAAACATCTACAGAACAATTCAATCAAGTATAATTGGAAATGCGGTGCCCCATAAAGCTCACCATGTGAGGCTTGCGCCCTGTGTGTTAAGGCTGCTTGTGCGACCTCGGTTCGATTCCAACCCGCTGCCCTTTGCTCTATGTCATCCCCTTTCTTTCTCGCCCCAGTTTCCTGTCTATCTCTGTCTGTCTCTCTATACTGTATATAAAGGCATAAAAAGTCCCCCAAAAAATCCTAATAAAAAAATAATTATAATCATAAATATCAGACAAACAAGACAAAACAAACAAAGATATCAAGCGCAATTAAAAGGAGAATAAAAGAAGGAACTTACAGTCAAAAACAAGAGAAACCTTTGGCAATGTAAGTTAGATTTCTTGAAGACATGTTCTGTAATGAAGTAGATGATGAGAAAGGGACGTCTATATTTAATGCAATATATCATTTGTCATTTTAACATTACATTACATATTTAATACATTTAGTAAAATATCAGGATGACTATTAGGTACAATCAAATGTATAAAAACATATTTTTTTAATATTAACATTATAAATATTCAATATTCTTAACAGTGAGACAGGAGAGTAATAGCTGCTTTTACCATTTTCATTTTTTTAGAATTTAAAGTTACCTGTCAAGGTAGGATGAGTTAGTAACACCCTAAAAACTTTCGATCTGGTAATATATGGATAACTCAAATAGTAATAGAAAGTTAAATATCAAGTAAAGTAGATCAGTTAACACACTTTTGTATTTTTCAAGTAAGATTTCCATCTAAAAAGATTCCAGACTTGCATAATTTGAAGATTATTTATACATATCTGTGCTGATTATTTCTTGTTAATATTTTAATATATTTATTGTATTGGTTAGTTTTTTCAACTGAAACCATTTGAATTTTTGCAATATTATTTGCACCAATTCTGTATTCACATTCTGTATTAGTACTAAAATCATGAAGCTATAAGATGTGTATCATCAGAAAACAGGGAGATGTTTGAAAGCCATATGCAGGGTAATTCAATTGAGTTGTCATACATTTTAAAAAGCAACAGGCCTAGTAGAGATCCTTGCAGCACCTCTTGAAGAAGCAATTACTACAAATTGTTCTTTTACATCTTGTAGGTCAGAAGCAGCACTGACTGAACTCCATTTAGTATTTTCTTTATTCTTTATGTGAGAGTGATCCTTTAAGTGCCCGGATATAACTGCTTATCCAGCAGATTGGACATCTCCATCCAGGACAGGTCCCACTCCACTTCTGTTGCGTCCTGCTTGGTCGCAGGAAGCTCCACTGCTGGTAGATCCTCTTTGGAAACTGGCCAACAGCTGCGGGTGCAAAACGTCTGGTACCTTGGCACAAATAAAATAACAAGTGAAGCATTTGCTCAGCAGCCTGTTTGACTTGTGATTTATGCCAGGATATCTGAGAAGTGAAGTGGAAGATTTTATAGATTCTGTGGCCAACCTGTAGTGATGAATCAGCCAAACAGTTAGAAGAATGAGGCACAATAGTCCACATGAAACAATGAGTGAAACAATCCATTTCCAGGAGCCTGATGAAGACAACAAATAAGATTTTAAGATTTTCTCTCTATTTCGGTTTTATACAATATAACTTTCCTAAAATAACAATCTGTTTTGTTTCTTCAGATGACATTAATTAATTGAAATAAGTTCACATTTTGCTATGATGGTTGCATCTAATAGTAGTGGCCATAGTCCTTGTATGTTGAACTCATGTTGGTGGGATGAGGGTTAAACCATTGTTAAATAATGACTTGTTAGAAAGTGGTACCCTTTGCTTTACCCTGTAATTATTGTTATCATTGCCTATTCCTTCCAAACCTACTCAGTGCATGTAATAGTAATATGAAATAATTTTACCACTCGTGGAGGTTGCTGTCCCATCTGTTGATGTGAAGTTGCCTAAAAGACATAACAATTGACATCATTCATTGATCCACTCTGACTGCTATTACACTAAACAGAATGATGAGTATTATCATTAAATGCAACAAAGCCACATAGCTGACCTCGGTCAAGTCTCACTGATAACCAGCTCTCTGGACTCTCCACCCTTCTGTCCTGGGACGCACACTTGTAGAAGCCTTCGTCTTCCTCTGTCACATTCTGAATAGTCATATTTATTACTCTGTCTGAACCGGAAGAAGCGTAAGGGAAGATTTCTGCTCCATTTTTAAAGAAGGTTGTTTTACTGTGGTTGCCTGTCGAGTACTGACAATACAAGACCACTTTACTGCCCTTAAATACAGGGAAGGCAGGAGTCTTCAAGATGATGGCACCGTCTGTGGGACAAAAATAACAGACATGGTTAACAGACAAATTGCTTCACTCACTATTATTATTACATTTGTTCTAAATCCTGTCACTCACACAACACATTTGAACCCACAGTGTGTGATTGCTGATACACTTTGGAGCAACAAACTGTCTGTTAGGACCATGTTTTGCTTTCTTTTGTGGTTTTTTCCCCCAGTTTGTTCAGTGTCAACACTGTTACACAAGACTCACAGCTTACTGTGATGCTGACTGCGTTGCTGCGGCCCTCAGCGCCCTCACACCAGTACAGTCCACTATTTCCGCTGACAGCAGTGAACGCACACGTGTCAGACTTGTCTGTACTGACAGCACCCCCTAGTGGTGAACAATGGTCTATGTGGAGGACTCTTTTCCTCACTCTGCGGCCCGGAGAGAATCGCCTCAGCATCCAGCCTGAAGAGTGAGTCTGAGACACGGGGCACTGAACAGTAAAATTCTCCCCTCTGAAGATCTGTCTGGTGCTGGGAGTCAGAATCAGTGAGGGAGGAGATGACTCTGGAGGACAGAGATGGACAGAGAAAGTGAGAAGAAGACAATCAGAGATGCAGTTGTTTCATACAATAGCAGCAGACAAATACTTCTATCTTGATTACTATGAAAAGGCACTAGAAAGGCAACGTGGAGTGACGGAAAAGTCCCATGAATTCTGATATAACTGTTCACACTGAGGTCACATTGCAAAAATTAAGACTTGGACCACATAGTAAAGTGGCCTGAGTCAGAATTGACAAGATCAGATTCCATGTGATTTGAGATGTTCACACATCATAGATCTGTGTCTATTAGAGGCAGTTAGTGGACTGACATAAAACATATTTTTGTGTGTGTCTATACAACCATCTAAAGTTTTTTTGGGGGGATAAATTAGGTCGCTGTAATACTGTAGGTGTTATTTCCATTTTAGGATCCAATACTTAGCTAACATGATCAAAATGACCACAGGAATTTAGGCAATAATAATAATCAATTACAATATAAGTGAGTGAGTATAAATGAGTAATGAATGAGTAATATTCTTAGAGTACTTAAACACTTAGGTCGTAAAAGCCTAAAAATAACATTAAAATCTATATAAACATAATAGAAAAGAACAGGACTTCTGGCAGTTGTCTGACAATATAAAACATGTAGGATAAATTGACATTATGTCTTCTGTGGCTGTATATGTATATATATGTCACTATATTAGAAGTCAGTCCTGCACTGCTCAGTCTTTCCAGCCTTATGTGCTGTCAGGTGCATACAGGAGAAACCCAATGCCTCGTTGCAGAGGTTGTAGCTGTTGCTGCTCACCTGACACACTGAGTGTAGCCGGCTGGCTGAGGAGCACCACAGAGGTGGTGTTGCCCTCCCACTGCTCAGCTTGGCACCAGAAGCTTCCCGCGTCCTCCCTTGTTACCGCAGTGATAGAGTAGCTGTCACCGGAGACCAGGTGCCTGGGGTTTGGGGTCGGAGCAGTGTGTGGCTTTTGCCTGAACCACTGGTAGCTCCACACAAAACTGGAGTTCGACTGCACAGTGCACTTCAGCAACACGCACTCACCGAGATACATGTTTGACCCCG